AGTGTCTCTGATCTTTCTAGTTCACTTTGATATTCTTTTGCTTTCTCCTTCATTCTTTCTTTCCTGTCCTCTTCTCCAGTTTCCCAAAGCTTGAGTGATCATCCTTTCTCCCTTGGCTTTGCTACTACTATATTTCTCTTTATTTATCTATTTTTCCCCTATTCCTCTGAAATTCTCCCCTACCCCCACAGGCTACAATCACTATACTAAGGGAAAACTCACTGCATATAAGTTCCTGGTTTATGTTGGATTTTGTTATAAAATTGTAGGCCTTGCTCCTATGATTAAAGGTACCAAATTAATAGTTACCACAGTTTGTCAGTTTCTAGGCTGTGCTTGATGCTAGTGTTATTGCTACTTGTACTACTTTAGTCAGGGTGTCATACCTGTTGTAATCAGTTGTTCTCCTTTGTAAGACAACACTATGATTAGCTGGGGTCATAATCATCACCATAGTCCAGTACCAAAGGACTGGGTGCTGGATCAAACATATGGCAACTTCTCCTCCCTAGTAAATTGATAAGATAGGATCTTGGGACAGGCACAAAGACCAAGCTCCAGCTATTCCCAAAAGACATCTCTCAGGAATAGATATTTCCTAGGGAAGCCTCCACACTAGTGATAAAGCTACCTACCACAAGCAATTTACAGGCATCAACACAGGGAACAAATTAAAATTTAAAAATAGAATAACATAAAAAGCGGAAGCAAAATGCAACCTCAGACCTCCAGCCCACCCAGGACAAGTTCAAGGGATAACAACAGTGGAAATCAGAAGAAGTTACCTATCTGAATTTTCTAAAATGGTAGCAGCAGAAGTAAAAGAACAGAGGAATGAGGCTACTGAGAAAATTATATCAGAAATAATCTCTCAGGTTAAAAAAGAGATGATGACCATAATGAAGGACTTGCTGAGTAAATCTAGAGTAGGCAACAAAATAGAGGAGCTCAGGAAAAGATGAAAATCATGAATGCCCAACATAGCAAAGAAATTGAATCCATGAAACAAAGTCAAACAAATATCCAAGGGATTTAAAATTCCATTGAAAGTATACCTATCCAAATGAACCAAGAAGAGAACAGAATGTCAGGTCTAGAAGACAGGATTATGGTTAGTGATCACAAAAAGACAGATATCTTAAAAATAGCAAGGGACCATGAAAAATCAATACAATAGCTGCAATATGATGTAAACAAGAACAATATATGATTAACTGGAGTCAATGAGAGAGCAGAAGATAATATGAAAGACATAAAAAACTTGTTCACAGAGTAATGCCAGAAAGTAATGCCCAAAAACTTCCCAAGCAGCGAAAAAGAATTTGACATAGGTTAAATGAAGCAGACAGAATTCCAATTAGCCATGGCCAAAATACATGAGGTACCGAGAGTAGTCAAATTCAGAGACAGGTACTAGGAGATGAAGGAAGAGACTAAGAGGTAGTGGAAGGCAGGGGTAAAACTCAGGTTACTGATTCACGGATATGCCGGTGTTTTCAGTGAAATCTTAACTCTTAGAAGATTCTAATGCAAATGTTCTGAATACATAAATTATTAATTTAACGATACCCTTAAAATTTGGCAAGGACTTTATAACAGTTTAGATTCAAGTAGTTTAGAAGTACTGTAGCTTAGACATTTAGCTAGCAGGTATGCTCCAGGATAACTGAGTCTAACCAGCTTAGACTCATCCTAGTTTAGT